ACTTACTCTGCACAGATACCTCACAAGCGTTTTATCTGATGACTTTCAAATTAAATTCAATGCTGCTTTGAGAATCTTATTTTTCTTGTTTTTCAATGGTGCCCATCAGATTTTTCAGAGATCGTTAATGAAGAAAGTTATAGTGTTCAAAGGGCAAAAATTCAGCTCACATGCATTTCCTTTTTCTAGTTCGAAGACGAAGACGCGGAAACGCTTTCTATGCGTTTGAAACTCATCGAGTCATTGCAGAACAAAATTGCAGCAGTGGATAAGGAAAGAGAAGATGGCGAGGTGACCGATGAAGGTAATTGCTGTTTTTGTACTGTAGAGGATCTTTGTATTCGTAGCGCTGTACGTTTTTTAGAAGCATCGGGAACACCTAGACCTAGTTCGCAAACAAGAAAGGAAACGTCATCGTCGTCCAGGTTGAGGAAGACCGGTCATGGTGCGTCTTGAACGATCACTTTTTCTTGCTACTTTTGTGACAAATCAATCGTGGGGTGCTAACATTTATTCCTTTTCATAATATCACTGCCCGAGTTGATAAACAAGAGGTATCGCGTAGAAAATCCTGCTCTGGTGTCGGCTCATTTTGAATGCGTTTCGATTGTACAATGCGCACTAATCTCACCTTTACCGCATTTGATATTACAGGACAATATTGCCTGATAAATTCCTGAAAGTAATTACATTCACAGTGTCGGGGTGGTCATGAAGAGCACTGTTTCACAAGGCAAGTTATAAAAATGGGTAATATATTGATGCGTTCAATATGCTATATTTCCCTCCTTGAGCGCCGTCATCTACTTAAAGAATGTCACTCATGCGAATGTAATTTTGTTATGAGTAATATCACTGAAGCTGAGCTCAAGGATGATGTGATAACTTTCACAAAGAATGGATATCTCTTTATTAGGCTTAATTCGTGCAAGAGTGACCAAATTTGCGCTCAGTTAGCCTTTTTACGGTTCAAGTACATGAACGACGAATAGGAGCAGCAAAAAGCCCAGAAGTTCGAACAATAGACCAGTGGTTTGGAAATTGTTTCCCTTCCTCGGTCCCGTTGCTATTTGTTATCCTCGCACCTTGATTCTTTCTTCACTTCGCCATATTATTAGCACTCTTGACATCCATATCGGCCTTTCCATTGTTTGCCATCTTCATAGGTGGCACGCTTTGCCTTGTTTGAAGCTCAGGTAATATCAAGAACCAGAGGACTTGAATTGAACATTTTAAGTGACGCGGAAATCTGTACATTCCAACAGAAGAGACGACGCAAGTGATAAAAACAGGAGGCACTCCTCTGAGCGGACGTCTAGCAGAACCGCAGATAATCACAAACGACATTCAACTCAACGTAGCTACCTATGGGAGAAGAAGCCTGGAAAATCGTCGACGCGCGCGTCAATTTCAGGTACTGATCCGATTTCACTTTTGGGTAATTCACAAAAAAAATTCTTCATCGTAGGCTCCGATAACCAGGAACGCAGAGACAGAGGTGCTAGTTCATCATTACGCTCCAGTTCGTCGCATCGCTCAAAAAGGCAACGTGAAGAGACACATGGGAAAACTGATACGCCCAATACGAAACACGTCGTTTCTGAGCTGTCCATCACTCTTCCTTCTTCTCAAATCAGTCAGCTTTCCTTATTTACTAGATTTTCTTACTTGGTAGGTTTGAAAGGATTAATTGAATGTAGGCCCAATGCGGACTTTGCTATTATCGAGTTGATATTGAAAAAGAGAAGACCAGGTTCATAATTTCGGAGCGCATCGTGGAAGCGTCATCTTCGCACTCGAGCAGTGAAAATCGACCTTTCAAACGAGTGGTAGATTCGGGTGATCATATTTCTATCACAGTCAATGCACACAGAGGTACCTATACGTCTATTTTTTCGCGTTTCTTTTTACAAGTAAATTGAGCACTCTTTTGTTGAAGTGGACAAGACGAGCGTGCTTTCCCCAACGAACTGCTCTGAGGCGAACTCGACCAACCAGGAAACAAAGTCTCTTTGGGCTCAGCGAGGTAGCTAGGATTCTTATTGTGTCTTAGCGTTTCTTGGACACCGTTTTGCCTGTGACACATGTGTAGTAGTGGCGCAGGCATATTGCTAATTTGTTCCGCATATTCAATGTCATGTGGTGTGAATTTGCTAGGACGATAAAATGCAGGAATCAATCCAGACAGAATTGATTACGTTTGTATTTTCGTTATACTTTTCAAGAACTGCTCATTTTTTTCAGCTCTCCACGTTCGTCAATCTCTGCTACAGTTATGAATAATCGATTATCAAATGACTTTGATAATCTTCTTCCTCATATACCACTCCCGCCAACGCCCACACCGTTTCGTTCTCAAACACTTGTAAGTCTCTTTGTTCTGCCTGCTGCATTTTATTATCACGTGTAGATCTCTTTCTTTTCCAGTCACCCAGTGAACGACAAGGATTTCACTGCCTAGTTACCTCTCACCGGCGCCTCCTATTGTCTCCCGTGAGTACAAAGCATTTATCTCGCTCATTATGCAGTACGCAGACTCTTGGTAAGGCCGATGTCATAGTTTGCGAATCGAACGTTGCACCAGCGAATCGAACTTTGCGCCAGCGAGTCGAACGATGTACCAGCGAGTCGAACTAGGTACCAGCGACTCAATAGTGGCGGGACCCAACGTTTAAAGGGAGCCCGCCACTTTCAAACAGTGTCCACTGCAAAGTCCCGCCACTTTCAAACAGCGTCCACTGTCACGTGACACTGTTTGAAAGTGGCGGGCTTCCTTTGAACGTTGGGTCCCGCCACTATTGAGTCGCTGGTACCTAGTTCGACTCGCTGGTGCAAAGTTCGATTCGCTGGTGCAACGTTCGATTCGCTGGCGCAACGCTCGGATCGAGCGATTCGCTAGCGAATCGCAAACTATGACATCGGCCTAAGTAATTTGAAGGACTGGATAGGTGATAGGCGCAACTATGCCAGAGTATTCGTTTAGCAGTTGCCCATACTTTCTGTTGGCATATTTACCTGATAATACATAATCATTAATTGGTGAAGTTCATTTCAATCGGTCAGACACGTAGGTGAGGCAGTTCCTTTATTAATCTAAGCTTACAGCGAGTTGGAATAGTGTTTACTTTAATGTCTGGACCTTGGGATCCATGGATGCGTCACTGCTCTTTGGTAACGCATCATATCTAAATAAGTTTTGATATAAACCTTCAGAAGTCAGAGGTTTAAGAGCGCTCCCAAGCTTGTTTACAGCAGTGTGTATTAACTCTTTTATGACGGTTCTAAATGGGTATTTCCGCATTTTCATATTTATACTTTATTTATTCAGACCAACCTTATTGGTTTAAATGCTCACGATGAGTATTTCAGAAGCCTGTGGATATGGTCGAAAGCTGTAACCCATCTTCTATTAGGATTCAAGTTCGTGAAGGTGGTGGAAGAGTGGCACAGCTATCAACATCCACTAAGCCTAAGGATATGGCTTCTTGTCCACAAAAACCGAAACCAATCAGCGTTCAGTGTGTACAAATCGAACCTCACTTTTCGAATCTATCGGAGAAAACTGATAACTATGAAGATGTTGGAATGGATGTAGAGTCTTCACACTCGAGTTGTGATTCTGACACCGGCCACGGAGACAATGAAGGTAATTGAAGTTGAAATAGTATTTTTTTGCAAAGTAAAGCTTACGAGAGTAAAGGTTTTAGTGCTTGGCTGAAAAGAGATTATTACGTTTTCTATGATTTCTCCCTATATTTTTTACAGCTACGCTCAGCTAAATTGCATATGATAATATGGATAGATTCTTGATATTTGTTTCGAACTCAGAAAGCTACCAAACCCAATTTTAGGGATACCTTCACCGCGGCACCGCATAATCTCAGATGCAGATGAAGCTCAACTCCGAGAAATGCTTTTGCATCAGGTACGAATCTATTACTGTTCCACATTGTTCAGGCATTGAAAAATTCCAAAGATTTCCTTATAATATGTGAAATTCCTGGAAATTTCTCTCAGTAAACCAATGCAGTCTGATTTTCCAGACGACCTTACTTGCCAAACGTAATGAATCAAACGAACAAAACGCCGACCTTTTTGCGAGAAGGGTTTTACTGTTCGCGTTTTAAAAGTTATTTTTTGTTTAGGTCATTCTTAACAGAAAACGAAACGCTGAAAGTGCTGGTCAAAGTAGTAGCGCCTCGATCTGCGATGGGCGTGCTGCTGATGGCCCTTCACGAGCGAACGTTTCTGAGTGTGGTGATGAGGTATGTGACTATTTTTTTTTTCTTTCGAAGTAAAATGTTTATACGAACAGGATGGAGGAAGCCCACTTCTTTAGCGCGTTGGTGACGGTGCAATTTTCATGCGAATAACAACAATAATATCTATTTTTTGTTCATGCAAGACTTATTTCCATTTTTTCTACTTATTCCATAGATCATATTTTACCGAAAAAAGACCAGCTAAACGAATAGCTCGATCTGCTGTAGTGGATCTAAGGCTTCCTAAGCCATTCGCGGCTATCAGTCCGGGTGATTGACATGGTTTGCCAATCGTAATCCATTGTTCCTTACGCACAGCATCGTTGAACCTTAATCGACTCGTGCTCGCCACGAATTCGCTGGAGCAAAACGCTTGTGTCAGGAGAGCCTCATGCGCCTGGCTTTCCCATGCTCACATGCCATCAGGTAATTCAGCGAGGTGGCGAGAGTCAGTGCGAACCAGCGAGACTCCCGCCAATTCTCCTTACTGTTGTATCACTAGTGCATCGTTTGAACTGCTGTAGCATCGTCCGCGAACGCTTGTGCATCGCTTGTATCTTCTCGATTTCGTATCTCGTTCGAATCGCAAAATCAGACCAGTCACACCGGCCGAAACGTGTACTGTATCAACGTGTTGAAAATGCAGTTTTGCACTAAAAATGCTTCGTGATTGTTTCAGGAAGAAACTGCGGATACTGTGGATGTGAAGAATGTACTCATCCAAACAAGCGAAGTGAACAATGAAATAGTTCAGGAAGCTGAAACGTCGAATTCGGCTTTTCTCGCTGGGTAAGTGGCTCTCCTAAATTAGTTATTACACGTTCACTGCGGAAACAGCAGTTAATCCTTATAATTTGATAGTTAGCAGCTAATGCAGGGAGCGAATGTGAAATAGTTTTTTTTTTGTTTTTACTGTCCACATTTGGGTCATTCACTTACACTTACAACCCTCATTAATGCTTGGCTTACGGTTATCAATAACAGAACGGGTAGATATCGTAAGGGGGCAGGGTCGCGTAACTTTTTTTTTTTTGTTTTTTTCTCCCAAACGTTTGATGCGAGCAGTAAAAACGTAAAACTAATCAGTTCTGTTTAATCTGTCATCAAACAACTCTGATTGCGTTTCCGCAAAAATCAACGAAATCTCGAGGGGCAAAAAAGATATTGGGCGCGGGGTTGTTAAAGTCCTTCATTTTATCAATCCGTATATGGTTACAATTGGAGCGAAAAAGATGGTATCCGCGGAGCTTTCCAGTGGGAAGAAACAGTGAGGTATCCGAAGAGTTCCGTTTTGGCGCCGCGTTTTTTTTAGCACCTGGTCGAAACGTCGATTTTGTGCCGTCTGGCTTTTCCAACTTAAGCATTATATCTGAGCCACACTGTATTTTCAAGGGAAGCGCACTAAAATTTTGGTCGAGCGGAAATTTGGTCCAATAACTCATATAGGCCATTATTCAGGGGAGGGTAATTGTATTGAAGGAGGGGTAAAAGTACGCTCGTAAAAAAAAAACGCTCTTCACTTTCAAAATGAAATACTCTTGGAATGGTTCTTGTCATTCTGCAGCAAATTGGACTGCAGCATACGGAGTTAATTCAAGTCATGGGAATTTTTGTGAGACGCCATGATCGATAGTGGTCGTACTGGGTTTGCATCTATACTATTTGCCATCCCGCGAGTGTGAGGGTGCCTTACCCCGTTCTACTATTTGGAAACTTTTAGAATTGGACTGTTTTCAGGAGTAGCGGCGCAAGTCGATGTAATTCTGATGAGCCGCCTCGCAAGCGACGAGAAGGTTGTTTTGACTGATTTGAAAAGAAAAATGAAAACGTGAAGAGTGCTCATATTAACTTTTAGGTGGATGATCTCTCGCAGACAACTGGTGATGATTCTTTAGCGGTTAGCCCTCCGCCTTCTAGTCTGTCGGAGTTGAACAATTTGCTCAAGTGCGCGACACCACTAGTCCATTTATGCTAGCGCTTGTGTGAAAAAAGTTTTCTCTTATTGCAGGGATAAGCAGTCACAGTTGGGTGAGCTGGACTCTGAAATATCAGAGAGAATGTCCTTCCTCGATCAATCTTTGCATCGTAGGGCTGAATTGAAGGTAGTGAAGTCCTGTGGCGCTTTGTTTTGTTTTGGATCATTGTTTTCGTCTTCAGAATCAGCTGAGCTGAGTTAGAAGCAGACATTGAAGCTGGGACAAGCTCAATGTCGTGTTCTTATGCGGCGTAGAAACGTGATCAGACGGGCGGTGGAACGATACGAGGGAGCATAGGCTTGATCGGTTGCTGGCTAATGACTGGTACATTACCTTCTTATTTTTTGAGCGGAATTCCTGTAAAGCAATATTAATTATGTTTTTTAGAGTGATATTTTGGGCACAAAGCTTGCCCGGGGTGTTAGGGTTCGGTATCTTTTGACGGGTTAGTTTTGATTCTTTGAAAACGCTCGTTTGTCTGGAGCTTTTTGGTGAACTAGCATACCTGGGTCTGAGAGACGACATCGGCTATTGAACCGCCCAAGTGCTACGGTGTTTTGCAGCAAGGTTATAAAATAAGCGCTTGCCCGGGAAAAAACTTTTTTTTTCCGGGGCTTCAAATGAGCGCCAAAATGATTTCACATTCACCAAAAGGGTCACTTAATTACAGTCGTAGAATAACGTGTAGAGAGCGCTGGGGTTTGGGGAATTGACTTCTCTCTGTACTATATTCAGACGGAATTAATTTACAAGAAGCTAGAGGCGATGAGATGGAGGGTTTCTGTTGAATGAGCGATATCTTTGCGAGAATTATTGCCCTTGCTATTATGTCGAATGCCATAGGCGAGCGACGAGGATACAGAGAAAAAATTCAACAGAAGACGGGCAGAGTGATCGGACCAGCAAATCAGCTGAGAGCATTCAACGTACCCCATCCACAGCATCATGGGTTGACGTGCGTGACGATCTTCTCGAATCCGGTGATTGCAACGAGGAACGCAAGATGCGATTGAAACTTCTGTCTCGCGAGGGAAAAGGGGAGGACACCTCATCTTTGAATTCCTGCCGTTCAAGGGTACGCTCAAGGCAGCGCTGAGCAAGGCTTCGGGAACGACATCCTTCGAACACGTAAGGAGTAAAATACACCCTAAGTATGGTAATAGGTCAGCCGCGGTGATTATTTAATTGCAGCGGCGCGGTTAATGTTGTGAAGACAGTCTGGTTCTCATTGACGTTGCCTTCTGAGGTCTTACACTTCACACCACTTAGTTCATTGAATGCTCATATGCGCGTGCAGTCCACACTCGTGCCGACACGACAGCTGTAGTATGCTCGAGAGTGAGGGCAGCCCAACATAAGCAACGGGATTCAGCTGATTTCAATCTTCTCAGTCGGGGTCGTCCAGTTTTGATGAAGCAGGCTACGCGCGGCTATTTTTGGAGTAGTGCCGAAACCTACTGTCAGTCTAAAAGAATGTTATCGCTGATTCCCTCTTGATGATTCCCTGCATCTTTCTGAACGTATCTGATGAAAGTTGCAACACTGTAAAGCCAGTCATTTGGGAACTTTTCTCAGTGCAGTATTGAAGTGGAGTAATTCAAAATTCCGATCGATTTGAATGGTTTTAAAAGAGTGGAGCAGCTGCACTGATTACCGTATTTTGCAGTCAACTGTGTCTTCAGATGCAGACAAAACAACATTCGAAAAATGCCTTCAAAAATCTGCTTCTTGAGAGTTTATAGTGACAACTGATAGTTGATAAATGGTAGCCTAATGAGTGACTCAGAATAGAACGCTTGCCGTTATTGACTAATAATGAAACAGATCTGCCGTCAGCTAGTCACTTCTGACAAGGAACTATCCTTTTCGTGGAGGTCGCTTGCATGATTAGCTCCGCATTTCAAGAGCACCGACAGTGGGATTCAAAGAGTGTCTTTGCTGCCCCTTGTGCCCATATAGCGAGCGAGTGACGTTGGGAGCTTCCCCATCGAAGAGTTTAAGGCTTCGCATGCAAGTCCTTGGGTTAGCAGGGCGCTATCTGTGCGTTTTGCGGAGCAGTTAGCCAGAAAGCTCTAAATCCTTCGATTGATTGGAACTAATGCATGAGGCGTGGCCTTGCGCTGTTTTTTCCCATTGCGGCTCAGCTATCTTAATTTCGAGACCTCATATGCACTCTTTTCCGGTTCTCGATATGCCTGCTCAGCCTTGAGTTAAGAAATGTGTAATGAAGGGAAGAGGTTTTTCTGGTATAGACGAGAATAATCGAGACTGTCCGACTGTTAGTGCAGAAGAGCACTTTGAGCGATCAACGCAGACAATCAGTTGGTAAAGAAGACGAATCGACTAAAAGTGAACCACTGTATAGGTATGTTGAGACAGATTCTTTCCTTTTTTTGTGGGAAGACATCGCCTCAGAAATATGCGTGGCGAGCGTAACGGAGCATAAGGGATGGGGGGGGGGGGATGAGAGTGGTGGTTCGGCGAAAATGAACAGGGAACGTATTTATCAGGAAAATGGAAGAGCTCGTTCAAAGCACACCCTCAGATCGGATTTGTGTGGTCACAGCGGCTGATAAT